CCCCAAAACCCCAAAACCCCAAAACCCCATAAAAGAGATTAAAGTCCTTAAGTGAGATTTCTAGAATGATCTTTTATAATTTTGAATTCAAAATAATATATATTTGCGCTTATTACTATGGTAGTATTACATTACAAAAAGACAGACTTGAACCAGTTCCTTTGTGAAACCCCTTGTGGTGTTAAGGTTGATGATCTCATAGATCATATATGCAGAGGTAATTATCGCAAGATTTAATCATTTTGCTAATAGTCAATAACATGAGATTAAAACTTGACAGAGCAGCAATCGCATTGGAGGACTTAGCCAGTAAAGGTCCATTGAAGCCAGAAGAACTTAGAGGTCTTAAGGACTACGATGATTTTGTTAAGAATGAAGATATCACCACCATCAATGGGCTAAAGAAAATGCCACCCAAGATTGGAGTCAGAGAAGTAGTAGATGAAACCAACTACAGAACAGGCTGGCTATTGAATGAAGACATGACTAGTAGAATGCTAGAAGAGGCGATGAAGACAAAAGAACTTATTCATAAATCCTAAGTTGATAGAAAGGTTTGCTTAGATATGGACATGCTCTAGGAGAGATTAGATATTATTAGAGGTATTACTATGATGGCTTACCCAGCTTACTACGGCCTAGGTGAATGGGAGCCAATTAGAGTTATCTTAGAGAATGGAGAGGACTTTGATGAGAAGATGGACTTAACCGATGATATGAACCCAGAAAATACTACTATTTGGATCGTAGGCAAAGAGCTACAAAGAGGTAAACTCCTATCAGACTATTTTGGCAAGAATGAAAAGCAGAAATTTGTAGTTAAGATGCAAAAGAAGGGGTAAGGTGCACCCGTCAGGGAACCTCTGATTGACCCAGACACTCATAAGAAAATGCTGTCATTCTACTATAAAAAGGAAGAGGAAATGAAGAAACTGCAGGAAGACAATGATGACACATACTTGAATCAGCCATGGGCTGACAGTGGGTCACTTAAGAAGCAGTTACACGGCCAAGGAAATTTAAAGTTCAGATGAAGTTCGTAGAGAAGGAGTGTTTATCATGATTTATTGATTATTTTAACAATAATTAACTATTCAAATAATCTTAATTCTATTGGTTATTTCACTGTTATTAATTAATCAATCAATTGTTAATCATATTTACTTCATTTATTAAAAGGAGCTTTCAATTGCACATACTAATCTTTTTCATTCATCGTCCTTGATTTTTATCATCCTATCTAGTCTCTCTTGTTGATTGGTATATATATCAATCACCCTTTCCAGCTCTCTGATGTCACTCTCAATTCTGTTCGGCACTATTTTACAAAATTATAGAGCCTCGTATATTATCTAGGCTAGAATTTATAACGTCCTTATTTTCTTAATCTGAGACTGCTGAGTCTTTTGATAGTTTATGATATAGTGTTCCAGGCTAAAGTTTTAAAGCAGGGAACCAACCTGGCAAAGTATCTGAGGACCAAAAGTAAAATGCAACTCTGGATTAAATATTTGATTCAACCTGTTCTTGTGCTCATTTATCAATTTATTTAGTTACTCCTAAAGCTCTGGATTGGTCTATTTAGGTTTAATACCCAGAAGTAGCATGTAAACTTTAAGCAATGTCAGATCATCTTTACTAAGTGCACGTTCCTTGCACATCTCTTCAAGAATGACCCATTCCTTTGAATTAATGTTGGAGAAGTAAATAATGCTAAGTCCCTTTGACATCTTGAATAGCTTCTGATCAAAGTAGTCAAAAAGTTCCTTCTTTAACTCGGCTATCTAGTCCACCAAGATTTCGTTTTGTATAGCAAAATTTTCCTTTTTGTAGTTGCAGTAGTTAGCAAGAATGGTTGAATTAGTAAGAGTAAAGATAGGAGGAATAATTTGATCATGATTGGGAAGGAATTCTGAAATTATATCTAGGACATCTCCAGTAAGATCTTTAAAGCAGGTCTTAAAAGCTATAGTTTCATCCTATTCCTCTTCCTCAATCTGTTGTTCCTAAGATTACTTATCGCTTTATACAGTCAATTTTATCATAGTGTCTGATCTTTCAAGTTTACAGTATTCCTAGGTGTCGAATTTCTTAGAGTCTTTGCAAATACTCACACTTGTCTGGCTATTTCCATTTTCCTAAGTGGTTTTCATAAGATTTTCCTTCTCGACATTTGAGAAAGAGAAGTACTCTTGATATTGCTAGAGATTTCTTGATTTTTAAGTCGATGACTGGGAATCTCTTTTGTAGTTTTAGGAATGCATTGACTCATTCTGAATTACTAGGAGACTATTATCCTCGTTACTCTATTAGACTTGATTTCCATTATTAATTTTTATTACACTACTACTAAGTTCAACGTTATCTATCACAACTGAATTATCACATTAGTCTTCGTCTTTTTTACTTCTTTATTTTTCGCTATGAATTGAAGATATACTAGTATGATTGCTGCTGCTCCCTGGAAGTATTTTCGATTTCCTCAGTTATTGACTATCAAGAGATAGTTGCTAAAGCTTTCTATCAAGCAAGTCTAGTTGTTCTTCCTCTTTGCAGTTGTCTAGTTTGAAATACATATTAGCCATTGATTCTTCTCTTGATAAAGATCTGGGTTCATTACTACTTTGCTCGTTTTTATATTTCTAAATTGTTTGTACAAGATTGCTCAATCTAGATTCAGCTTAGGTTCCTTGAAGTCTACTAGCTGGTGCCCTCTTCTTGACTAAAATTGTATGCTTGTCTAAATATCCAACCTAGATAGGACCTGATTTTTCTCTCGTTGTCATTGAGCCAGAATGGATAATAGACTATTCACAATCTGCATTCAAGTTGAATGCGCTTTAACCTAAAATTGAGTTTTATGAAGATATTTTCTTAGATTAAATAGTAATTGGACCTTCTTTAACTTTCAATTCCTCTCTCGAGATTGCTAGGTCTATTTGATTATCGATTTCATCAACTTTAGTTTATTAATTTTGCTGAATAGCTTCAAGATCTCTCATGGTTAAAAGCTCCTCCTTGGTAATATTGTTAGAGCTGTCAAAGGTTCTATTCTGTGATAAAGCATTCTTTTCTACTGGGAGTTCAATTAGAATTGTATCTAGATTACTTTACTCAGATCTATATTACTATTCCTTTTTGGTACTTAGCTGGAGATCAGAGCATAGACTTTTAGATCCATCCATGCTTGGATTATATGCTGAATTCTTAGTTCTACTTTAACTTAGAGGAGTTCGAATCTTGAGTAGTTTTTCATTTGTAAATTAAGGCATTAGAATTTTAGCAATACTGCTGCTTGAGGTCTCTGATTATTTTGCTGTTTAACATTAAGAAGTACTTCCAACAGTAGCTAAGGTTCTACTTATTATCTGCTTCTTTACCATTGATTAAATCTGTTTCTTATGTGCTTTGATGGCTTTATTTTCCTTTGAATCTGCACTTGAATTTAGATTTCTCATATTCTTATCTTGCTGAATACTAACATTACTCTGAGATTGCAAATGTTCTAGTTATTTTTGAAGGTCAACTTTTGTTTGTAATTTAGATTGCTATAAATTCTAAGTTTTATTAACAGATTTTTAATGCTTCTAAATCATGCAATGAGCTTTGCTTTATACTTAAACTTTAGCCTTTTTGTTATTTTAAGAACTTGACTTCGATTATTTATGAGTTTGCTAAAGGATAGTTTGATTTAAAGTTGCTTGAATCTTATTTCCAAGTGATGCAGTTGATCTTTGCTTGTCTAATATAGGCTTCTTGACAGCATGATTGCTACTCACATTATGATTAAGGATTTACAGGACTCCATTTGTAGATCTTTAGTCTCTTAAATTCGATGTTGAATGAGTATTTTTTGTTTTGGTTTCAAGAACTTATTAGGAATTACTATCTTCCTCCATCAATATCGAAAGGCTTATATTTTGACATCCCATCGTTTCATTCTAGGTTTTATTCTTTTCAGGCTTTTACAATTATTACCCGTGATTTAGACTTTTACTATGCTTTTTCTTATTTTATTAAACAATATTTTATTTTTATGGAAGATCTTGAGCTGGGGATTACAATTCAGTTATGTTATAATCTTAAGTGCATATGCTAATCATCTGTTTGGATTACTTGTAATTACTCTCTACTTACACTAAATCTTTTTAAGTTTGAGTCTCTGTAACAGCCATTAATGAATCTGGAGAGGATTGATACTAACCATTGGCTTAACTTTTATCATTAGTATTTTCTTGATCTGGTGACTGTTATATCTTATTGAGGTTACTTGTCATTGAAGGACTTTAAAACTGTTAGATATTAAACATGCTGATCTTATTTTTTATCTCTGAAAAATTATGAATCTTCAAATTTTTATCATTAGCATTAGTATTGACCAAGCTTTAAAGAGCAGCAACTGACCCCTATTTATACTTTGTTGAGGTTGGTATGCTGATACTATCGTTGTAAATTATGCAAGATTGTCCATGAAGTGTATTATCCAGAGATATATTATTGTTATTATTGACTATTTTATTTTAAAACTTGATTGGTTGCTGTTGAGCCTTTGTGGTTGAGGGTTTACTTGTAGAAATGATAGAGTTTATCTCATCAATAATCTAGTTGCATGAACTCTCTATCTGCCTAGGTTTGTTTTAAGAATATGACTTTAATTATTTATTCGTTTGATGACCTGCAGCAGCCGTAACTATTGGCTAACTTAGAGATGATTCAGAATTTTCTGTGCTTAAAATCTCAGATGGTTTAGTTGATGCTGACTCTTGATTTCTCTACTGAGGTTAGGTATTTGACTAATTAATGAGACTGCTATTAGGTTAAAGCACATTACCAGTGTTAGTGTTATTAGTTGTGATCTGATTATGAGTGAGATTTATATGAATATTATTAGAATGAGTATTCTCCTGCTGATTGTGAGATGTAGGAGCTGTTTGCTGGAGTGAATTCTATTAAGAGTGATCTGTTAAAATAGTTGGGGAAGTGATGTCTCTTAAGTTTGCTTAGGTATTATGGTTAATTTAATCTTGATTAATCTTCAATTATTGAATAATCACCTCATAACCTTATTCAAGTTACTAAATCCTCCTTTCATAATGCTAGATAATGGTCACTATGACCTGAGCCATGTCAGATCTGGTAACGTAGTCATGCTCCGAGATTTGCTAGATCGGCAGATGCTGCCTGAAATCTGATTAAGTGTGAGGTTGCTGCTGGTGGGGATGATGCTGAGGTGGATGGCCTAGATATTCGTTGATATTCATATTCATATTATTTTCGTTGACTTAATTTCTTAAAATACCCTAATCTAATATTTCAGATGTCATGGGGTTTTGGGGTTTTGGGGTTTTGGGGTTTTGGGG